GTTGATGAGAGCCGCGCTGTTGCGCCGAGTACCGGGAGAAAAAACGGTAAGGGGGCGAGTCTATACCAGCCGACAGCTATGGCGTACTGCGTTACAACCTAAGGACTATTTGGATATCGATAAAGTTCAAATAATGACGCGCTGCGGAACAGGAGAGCGAACCGCGGTCGTATATTACCGCCGTGTTAGTGAATGTCTGAAATGAAGTCAGTTCTCGCTGAACTCACCATAAAAAGATTGTGTGCTGAATGGTTGGTAAAAGATCGTCACAGGTGTAATTAATGGTCATCACAAATTTTTAAATGATAACTAATAACAATTTTTATTGCTTCTCGATTAACTGATCAATTGTCGATGTTTTCCTGACAGGTAATCATTTTCATCCAAGCCATTCATGAGATTGTGCGAAAATGAGACAAAAATTATTTACATAATCGCCATTCATGTCAAAATGTAAGGAAATTTTTGTTATAACTCTACGGAATTGAAGGGGGCTATTCCTTAACTCATTATCCAACCAATAATATGCTTCGTTTACAGACGGAATATCTTCAAGAGTCTCGAGCTCATCAGAAAACTTGTCAACGGATAACAAGTGAAACCTGGAAGGTGATGACTGACATGCTTCGCAAGATTTAGATACCAGGGGCCATACTTTCAAAACTCGTTAAGTGAACGTAAGTACTTACGTACTATTTTCTTGTCTATGATTGGTGGATTTTGCTTGAAAGGCCGCCGATGATTGGCTGATGAACTTAAGATCTCTTAACTTTTTTTGAAAGTATAGGCCAAGGGCCTTATACTTTCAAAAAAGTTAATAGATCGTAAGTTCATCAGCCAATCATTGACGGCCTTTCAAGCAAAATCCACCAATCATAGACAAGAAAATAGAGCGTATAAGGACTTATGTTCACTTGACGATTTTTGAAAGTATGGCCCCAGAACATTAACTGCCTCCACGATAAATACTCTGGTAGCAGCAAATCACCGTTTTTTAACCTATAGAGAACAAATTACCAGTGACAATTAAATCAAGTGTAACCTCCAACACGCATCTCATTTACTTGCAAATGCAGATTTCCAAACCAGTGCGAAATGGAACGCAAAGCTATTATTCGTTTAACAGGTTTTCAAATTACTACACTCGCTCAATTTAAGAGACCAGGAATTTAAAAGTAAAGAAAATAGCCAAAAATTTCACCATTTCTTATAAGAGAAAACGTTTCGGAGTCCAGCTCCATCGTCAGTTCAAAACCTAGAACACAGGTACAAACAATTAGTAACCTAAAATTCACATTCAAACAATTCACCTAAACTTGAGGACATTAGAACTAAAATCGAAGATAACAGAAATAAAAATGAGATGACATGTAGAGAAAATACAATCTATTTACAATTTGTAGAGGATAGGAACTGAATGCAGCATTTAAATTTTTTTAAATTGGTGAAATTTTTGGTTATTTTCTTTACTTTTAAATTCCTGGTAAATTTGCGACTTAAGCAGCCAAGTGATTTTAATAATTTAAGAGACCATGCAGTAAAAGATAAGGCGCTACTTCCAGGTCCGATTTATTTACTCGCCGAAAGAATCATTTGGTAGCATTCCAAGAAAGAAAATAAAAGCTTGAACCCCTTAGGAGCAATTTTTTCCCGTGTAGAGACGAACTATCGATGGAAATGTGAAGGCATCTGTGACACTGAGAAATGGTGGCTATGGGCACTCTTCTCCATACGAGCTTCGAACGCAGGCATCCTGATGCCGGGACATTCATTGACAGTGTGTTTCTTTTTCACAAACTCGTATTTTATTTGTGTTTTTTTTTACTTTAACCTGTTTTTGACATGACACGAAGCTTAGAATGTACCATGTATACCTAAATTATGCCCGATGCAACAAATACTATTTATTGCAAAAAATTTGAAAATTTGTCTTCTTCACGAGATGAGTTTGTAAGCATTTTCTCTGTAGCGTAATTTTATTTAGAATTATAAAGAAGTTTAGTCGGGTTAAGTCAAGTGTTATGAATCATGAGACTATTGTATTCGAAATTTAATATCATTTAACAAACGCTTGCCTTGAGGAATATATAATATTAAGCCATAACTTTTAATATTGCGATAAATAGATAATATATAATAAATTATTTATAATCCAAAACTAAGAATGAAGATTGAAAGCTAAAATAATAATTTAATTCAAACGTAATATGATAAATTAAACCGCAGAATTACCTGTATGCGCAGCGTTTAAACTCAGAACCAATATATTGCGAGATTAAAGAGGAAGCAAAAGGCCAGCCGTGACCGCGATAATGGCTTATCCTCGCCTTCCTTTATCGTTCAATTTACAAAAGGGGATGTTTAATTTATTTCATTAAAAAAATTCCTAATAGGAAATGTATTGCGTATTACGAATGAAATCGATAACTATTATTTCAAAATATGGTATGAACAATACTTATATGTTAGATCAATGTTCTGGATTGTTTTGAAAATTTACAAATAATAAAACGGAGTCATTTCGCGACGAAAGGGTAGCTAATATCCAATTAAAAGTTCAAAGTAATGCTATCGAACAGCAGCGAATAACTATTTACATGCAGACAATTGCTCATACCTAAGAATATATACATACTAAGAAACCAGCTTTCAAAGAAACAATACAAACTTATTCCACAGTGGAAACACCTATTTAAAAAATTATTTAAAAAAGTTAAAAGCAACATCCCAAAAAGTCGTTGGGGTCTTGCTAGATAGCCAGCGATGCGCTAAAGTAAAAGTTTGCATCTTTTACAAATGGTATATATGAGGGAGATTGAACTACAAAAACATCTAATCAACATGCATAGATTTTTCTCATTATGAATAAGTCATTTAATCAGCATTGAAGAATGGTAACAGTTTAGTCAGTAGAATCTGTATCTCACACAACCATTAAATACATCAAATATCATATGTCCATACGAAACACATTTCTTCCATAACGATAATTTTTAACAGATATACTGACGATAATAAAAAAAGGATGGCAGTAGCAGCAAATATTTCCGACTGACTTTGTTATTCGGTTATTTAAATCGTTTTTAGAATTAATTTTTTAACTTTCAAAGTTTTGAGATAAAAAACTCGGAGCCTCAGAAGTTATTATCTCGTATAAATGTTCGTAACAGATATTTTGGAACAATTCCTAACGACAGTGAACTCTCCGTTGCTCGTGCATGTATTCGGATTTTCGCTCATCCATCATCGAAAACAATCATTGTTATTTTAATGATCCCTCAATCAAACCAAATCAAAATTAGACCAAATTTCAATAAAGCACTCAAGAAGTCGTTACAATCTCTGTTCAACATACGATGGTACCATCATTTTGGGGAATCGTACCTAATGTCATAAAATTAGGCTCGCATATGAAGTTTCGGGCTCAATTATAAGAAGAATTATCGAGTGCAATATCAGGCTTCAATAAACCGATGCGGAAATGCATGTAACAACGCAACTTGTTTCGTGAGAATACGGCTAAGGGCATCTCGAGACTTCCACGGCGAAATATTGTATCTGGATTTAGAGATGAAAAAAATAGCTTCAATACTCAACTTTAGGGACCAGCGTGTCGTGCAAAGCTCAACGTTGCGATAGACGGTCTCGAGGCAATGAAATATAAGTCAAACTAAGACACTTTTCAGGTTGCGAATATAATAGTATAACAGAGGGAGACGAAGAATGCGACAACAGCAGCAAAATATTGTTTATTAAACTGTTAGACAACAATACTGAAGTGATAATTATAACGCCGAAAGATGGTTTGAAGGGTGCAATGTTAAAATTTATATCTAATTAACTCGTTAATGTTTATACGCTTATCGTTTGTCTCGTGTTAGGAGGCAAAGTCGACGCTCGTTAGCTCTATCTTTTTTACTATTGCTTTAACCTTACCGAGGTGAAGACCTCTTGCTCAAACAGTATTATTACTTTTGTTAACTCTTGCTTATCTGTTACTTAATTTGAGTTTGTGCGAGTGTGTTTTCATTTTATTTTGTTCAATTTAAATGCATGTTAGAACTTCTGTGTTTCGCTCGTTTAATTAAGATCTTGCTTAACCGGCTTTACGCCAGTGCATGGAACCCGTAGGGTTATTGGCTCCTTGGAGCTTCGGTGTATACCGATTGTCACATGCCTTAGTGCTGTGAATTAATTGCATGCTTGCATGCGCTTAACTCCTTTAAGTACGAGCGAACACTCCTATTACTGTTTTCACTATTTTCTTCCTAATAGTTCTCTACATGAGAACTCTTGTCTAGGGTTCCTCAACGGAAACAAATAGGTAACCTGAAACAGTGACTCATTCAATTGGAATTAAATATTGTGTTCTACACTTTTAACGTTCGAACTTGTGCTTATATGTGCGTACGTATTCTACAGCTTGCACGAGTTCCTCGTCGCGCTGCGTGCTTCTCGTTTAATTCCTTCTGGCTTCGTTCTGCGAAGCAATTCTCTTTGCGGAACCACAATAAAAGTTTCAACGCTTTCTTTGTTTTTTGATTTCCAATTGTACCGAAATTCAATAGCAAAGTAAAAGGATTTCTTCGAGATATGTCATGAATAGAGAATAATTGTCTCTAGCATTGTTATAAACGGTAGAATATATTGTCTTAAAAATACACAAGAATGGTAGATGATCATCGTTATAATTGAAATCGAACGTATAAGATTCTCTTGAATCCATACTATTTAACAGTGAAAGACTATCTTTATGTTTGAAAAATAAATTAGAAGAAGTCTCATATCTATACAGAATCAATAAAAGATGATATAATAAACTGAAATAAACGGTTTAAAGATTGTCGGTTTCCAGGCTTCAAGTTTTCAAGAACAGGGTATGAATTATATTTTATTTTTCTTGCATGATACTTTTGTCGGGAAAATAATCTGAGGTCGTACAGTGGCCGGCGGTTAACGCTCGTTAATTACGATAGCTTTAAGACATGACACTTACTCACCTGAGATGTTGCAAGTTGCTCGAATCCCACACGTTCCTGAAGGATACAAATGTTATTAAAATAATGAACAAATAATGATAAGGTAAAATTAATAATAGCAGCTGTCAAATTGTCGCATAGCGAGTTATGAAACTACTATATAAAAATTCTCAAGCCCACCGAATTAAAGTCAAAGTGATTACAGTTGGCGTAATCTAATTCCATGACAGAAAAGTCCACTAAATTCAATTAGATTATATTCAGTGTTGAAAAATTTTACAAAGTCAAAGCCTTGACAACGAGGAGATGTGTGATTTCACTTTATGTAAGTAAAATCAATTTAAATAAAGTCATAATTTAAATAAAGCGACAACATCAAAGCTGTGAGCAATTCTAGTGTGTTCAGTCCATGTAGGGAGACTCAATCATTTTGGGATCGTCAATGAGCAGCACGTCGCTGTCACGGCAGACGTGGCACGTCAAAGGAGAAAATAATTAGAAGCGTCGGCTGCGGGTAGGATTTAATTTAGGTAGCCAGTTTAGCTGCCAGTTTGATATCAGCAAAACGAAAGACAGCGCTGAAGTTAAATTGCTTCTCTCAAGGCGGTCTCAGAAAGATCTTTCTTTATTTTACTCTCCCTGGAAATTTTGCGCATTATTCTATTAGCTTCATTAAATTAAAACTGCAGAAAATGAAGAGAAATGCGGCCACAGTCTCGTAACTTTCACTACTTTAGAGAAGCTTGAGAAGACTTGGTTACTGCTTAGAATTTCCTTAGTAGGATATATTGCGTAAGAAGGAACGCCTCGAGGTGATTAAGGAGCGAATTTCGACTCTAATTTGCATATATATTGTATCACTATCTAATAAATTCTTACTTCAATGTTAATAATTGAGTATCGAACATACCTGAATGTATCATAGAAGAATTCGCAAAATAATTCGCAATTTAAACCAGTCCCCAAACTAAAATTTAAATTTGTGTTCCTACATCAATGGATCATCACCTTGTTTTCATTACTCGTTATACTAGAATATATCCCGAGAATTTTCAGCCACTTGCGTAATTATTTAACATGCTTAAATAATAAGCCAAAATATGGATAATATTTTATCCCCAACAAATCTGCACGTGTTGAATAAAAGATTTTTCCGCGAGTCAAGAAGATTTATTAGATNATATATGGGCTAATAATCTGCCCATCGATTGCTCAATATTATTCTCTTGGCCACCTAAAGTACGACCTCGATTTTGCATTTAAAGTTACTAAAACGCACGCATTAACAAAGAACCATTAAGATAAATACGAATAACCGATTATTTATCAATTCATTGGACGCACCTCGCACACTCTTAATGAGAGTTTTTTTAAATGAACTATAATGAGTTACGCAGCATGAAAACAATGCATGCGTCGTAGTTTAGCGACTCGACTTGTCCAAAAATGAACAAGATAGCTCACGGAGAAACTTTAATGGTCAACTAAACCCGGTCTGACAGCAAGTAGCTAAGTAACAATGGAACAATGTAACTATATGACATGAGCTTTATAAGTACATCGCATACATAATTCCAGCCTCAACATAATAAGCTGATTCTTGCGCCATAGTGGTTGGCTTCTTGCCACAACTCGCCTTCACCTCTAAATAATTTCCTTCGATTTTAGAAACCTTTTCCCGGAAGCTTGCAAGATAAATTAACGCTGGATTATGGATGGCAAAGTTGATGGACAACCGTCGTCGATGATGGATTTAAATCGCGCCGTATTTTTTTAAAAGCGTTGGTAAAGGTAAAGTTAATAAAGGGCGAGGAGAAAAATAAAACTTTAATTTAATTTCATATTGACGAGCGCGTGACGAGACGCCTTGCCGGCCACAGGCGGCCTGGTGCTACAGATATGTCAGTGAGAGCTGCACAAAAAAAGTCTGCTGCAACGAGTGTAGAATGTAGCAATAAAATATGCTGCAACGGCTACAGCAATAAAGAGCTAATCGATGCAGCAAGAAAAACTGCTGCAACAAGTGCAGGAAAAAAATCTGCTGCAACAAGTGTAGCAGGAAAGACTGCTGCAACAGGTGCAGCAAGAGAAATTTCTGCAACAGGTGCGGTAAGAAAAGCTGCTGCAACAGATGCAGCAATAAAAACTGCTGCAACAAGTGCAGCAAGAAAAACTGCTGGAACAAGTGCAGTAAGAAAAACTGCTGCAACAAGTGCAGTAAGAAAAACTGCTGCAACAGGTGCAGTAAGAAAAATTTCTGCAACAGGTGCAGTAAGAAAAGCTGCGGCAACAAGTGCAGCAAGAAAAACTGCGGCTGCAACAGTTTCAGTAGGAAAAACTGCTGCAACCGAGGCAGTTAGAGGAGCTGCTGCAATAAGTTTAGCAATATAAGCTTGCCCTTGAAATAGACAGGAAATATAGCCTACATATTTCCTTCATACATATATAAATAAATACAGCAAAAAAATAGCTCAGATGAAAAAAATTCTAAATTTAAAGTCGCGGCAATAGGAATAGCAGTTGAGCACTTAAAAGCAATCGAAACTGAAGCGGAAGGAAAAACTGCACCTCAGTCACAATAATAAGACCACTCCAAACAGCGGCTGTTATAGCTGCAGCAAACAAACAACAGCAAACACGGCATCATCTTCAGCAGCTTCAGTTAAAGCTGACCCAACTGCCGTCCTACTGCAGCAGCAGCAGCAGCAGTATCGTCCGGTGCCAGTATCTCACATTACAACACAGCTGCCCGCGTGACCTAGCGATCATCTGCTACTTGGAATTTTTTTAGCGCAATTTTTCATTTATGGAAGAAATGCCCTATTGTGCTCGTCATGTCCGTCCGTCCATCCGTCCGTCTGTCCGTCTGTCCGTCTGTCCGCCCGTCCGTGACTTCACGTTTTCGTCGAAGAGAAAATGCGCTCTCTGTCACTCACTGCAGTGAGTACGGAGTTATAATTTAGAATTTATAATATCAATAGATATTGAATTTAGACAAATAATGTACGAGTCGTGATTTATTGTTTGTAAAAAATTTGACTGGCCCGTTTCCCTTAATTAGAAATCCATTTTTTTCAGTTGAAGTTAAAGCTTTTTGAATTTCAATCAGTTTAGTTTTCAATCCTTTGTTAATTGTTTGTACCAAAATTATGACGTAAGAAAGCATATATTGTTTATAAGGAAGGAATAAAGGTTCAAACTTATGATTCAAACTTATTATTTGCCTCGAATTTGAATTTTTGATTAGCTCGTTTTTGAATTCCACAATCTGCAACAGTTCGAAAACTCTCAGCTTCACACACAAGTTATCGTTCAAAAACTATCAGTTTTACAAGTTATCGCTCAAAAACTATCAGTTTCACAACTCATTGTTCAAAAACTATCAGTTTCACAATTCATCGTTCAAAAACTCTTAGTTTTACAACTCGCCTTCTAAGACCGTCAATTTCACCTGTTACCTTTCAAAAACTATCACTGTCACAATTCACCGTTCATTGACCATTAGTTTCTTAATTCACCGTTCATTAACCATTATTTTTTTAATTCACCGTTCATTGACCATTAGTATCTTAGTTTCTCAATTCACCGTTCAAACACTATCAGTTTCATACCTCCGGCCTCCAACAAGGGTCAGTGGCCGCAACTCTCGCGTTCTCCCGCGTACGGCAGTGGCAGGCTGGCGTTCAGTCACGTCGTCTAAAGCTTCGATTTTCTCTCGAACGACAAAGTCACAAAACAAATTTGCTGACGCCTTCATCCTTTGTCTTTCTAAAAAGGAAACAAAAGGGCTTTGTTGAGCCGCCTCAGCACTATGAGAACTTTCTTTTACGAACGAAATTGTGTTACATTGGAATAAAAACCGCGTAATCAAATGGAAACGGTGTTACGGGATAAACTAACAAATTTATGAACTTTAAGAATATTTTAAATAAAAAAGTACAGAGAAATATACCACCAATCCAAGGATCAATAAAATGTTTAAATTGTAAATTAGCAATAAAAAATATAACTCAGTATTCACTGCAGTGAGTTACAGATAGCGCATTTTCTCAGAGAGCGTCCGTAAAGAGCGTCCGTTACGGACTGACGGACATGACGAGGACAATAGTGCATTTTTCCATAAATGAGAAAATGCGCTAAAATTTGTAACTTCAAAATGAATTTATTTGTTTAAAATCATCAGGAGAACATAAATTTCGGGGCACAATCAGTGTTCCATAGTTGATCGTTGAGGTTAATGATACTCGGTTTGGTGATATACTGTCTGGACATGAGATGCAAGATGTCTTACCCAAAGGCACTTCAAGCAGAGGTACAAAAATCGGGGGAAAAAAAATCACGTGACTATTACGTACAAAGTAGGAGGAGTTGTACAATTGTAGGACGATACGATAAGTGATCGCTGTATATTAAATTATCTGTCAATAAATAGTAGCTATAACTACATCGGTGTAGTATCAATACAATAAGTAAAATTCTAATGAATATTACATTTATAATAGAAGATACGATCGCTCTATCTTGGTCAATTGGTTTAATATCCTGTATATAACATTAAACATTTAATGTAATATATGTTAATGTGATATACGTATAATCTATATATACAATGATATACAAGGTATTATGTGTACAATATAACATAAAAATATTATGTATGTTGTAATAACATAAATATATACCTACCTATTAATACAATGAATAATATGCTGTATATAACATATAACAACATTAAACGAGTGTAAATACAAAAAAAAAATTTAGAACTCATAAGGAATAAAGGTTCAAAATTACGATTCAAGACTGTAATTTTCTTCGAATTTGAATTTTGATTAGCTTTTGTTTGAATTTCAATTACTTTCCTAATGGATGTTCAGAAGTTTTGACAATATCATCAGCTTCAGAATCTGATTACAAATCACATAATAATATTATCGTTGACTCAGACATTAAAATGTAAGTTTTTGCACCTAAATAAACCGCAATAATTGGTGGGTAAAAATTATAGAACACATAAAATAACACAAATTTTAAATTCAACCATTCATAAAAAATTG